CCCCCTTAATTTTAGTGCAGAGAAAGGGTGGGCAGCATGTGCCTCCCGGAATGTAGCCTTAGCCAGTACTTGTGCTTATTTGCAACCTTGAAGGGGATATATGCAATAAAGTCATCGATGCTCTGCAGAAGCACACTTGTGTAACTCTAGGTGAAAATCACACATGGCACAACAGTCCGCACTCGGCTGGAAAGTCCCGCGTCCTCCTGCTGGGGCTGCAGCCCGCTCCGGCCAGGGCCATGGCTTTTCTTCATGTGGAAGCACATCCCTGAAGGGATCCCGTCGACTCGCCGTGTTTTTGTTAATGAACCTGCCTGGTTTGCAGCGACAGGAGCGGCCCGGCGCTCGGATGGGCCGGTGGGTTGCCGGAGTGACTGCCTGCTTTGGTCTGAGGTGAAGGTGGCTGAACGTGGCTGTGCAGATACACGCATCTAGCCTAGCGGAGGCATGGGACATGGGGATAAACATAATAACAAGGAAAGTGCCTTGATGCTGGATTGGATGGCTAGTGAATGTAAACATTAAGTAAAATTTTACTATGTACTTAAGTATGGCTGATTAACCTACTGGTAGTTTGAATGCCAGCTCTAAAGGGCTTGCATACTCCGGCCAGAGGTTACATTTGTAAATTGCTGCATAAGCTGTCTCTATGTGGAAATGTGTTTTAATATACCAGTACACTATTTTCATTCTTTTGCAAGCTGCATGTTAATTGTCATATAAACTCTGCTTTCTACAATTTACTTTATGGTCGGTGTTGAATGTCTTTTTCTTTGTTACCCAACTGAGCCGGAATGTTGCATTTGTCCAGTACATAATATATGAAAAGAGAACAAAACAAAATTCCCTATTTGCCTTGTGTGCTGGAGTCGGTGTTTTGCAAGGCTGGCTGAAGTGGAAACCACGGAAGGAGAAGGGTCTGGGCACTGCCTAATAGGCAAGAAAGAAATTTATAAATTCCTTTAGGGCAACGAAACTAGTGAAGAGCCTGGAAGACAAATCATATGAAGAGCAGCTCAAGGAGCTGGGACTGTTTAGTATGAGGAAGAGGAGGCTGAGGGGAGACCTCATCACTCTCTACAACTGCTTGAAAGGACACTGTAGAGAGGTTGGTGCTGGTCTCTTCTCACAGGTAATTAATGACAGAACGAGAGGGAACGGCTTCAAGCTCCAACAGGGAAGGTTTAGACTGAACATTAGGAAGGAATTTTTCACAGAAAGAGTGGTCGGGCGTTGGAATAGGCTGCCCAGGGAGGTGGTTGAGTCACCATCCCTGGAGGTGTTTAAGGGACGTTTAGATGGGGTACTGAGGGATATGGTGTAGGGGAGGACTATGTAGAGTAGGGTAGATGGTTGGACTCAATGATCCCAAGGGTCTCTTCCAACCTCAATGATTCTAAGAAATGGAGGGAGGTCCCCAGGGAGAGACATGACTATGGACGTGGCTACCTGTCTGGGTGTACAGGACAGTTCAGCAGCAGCCAGATGCTCGTTAGCCCTCCCTTTGTAATTGCTCCTGTGAACAGGTGTTGGCTGCGACTGACTGGCCTTGGTGGTGGGACAGGTCACTGTCCTGGCCCCGGCTCTGTTCCAGCAGCTGGCCGTGGTGTGTGTGTTCTGTGCCCGGGGTCTCACCAGGAAAGGGGTTTCCATGTCTGCCTGCAGCTCCATGTGCTGAAGGTGTAGGACCAGTGCTCCCAGCAGCTTGTCTAGGTCTGTTGGAAGTGTGAGGAAGAGTGTCCAAAAATCCAGTTCTAAGGAACACCACGGGAGTGAGGAGCAGGACGTGATGCTGCCCGCTCACACTGATTTCCCAGGAAGGAGCCCCAGAAGGAGCTGTGTCTGACGCTGCCCTCGGCCTCACCCACGTGTGGTTCTTCTGTTTCTAATGCATGGAGGACCCTCACAGACCCTCAGTGAACTTACTCCTTGGTACTGAAAAAGCACAGCTGTGCTTCACCACCGCAGGGCCAAGCAGATGCAGGAGAGGAGGCGGCAGCTTCGTCTTCACAGCCTGCCTCTGCAGAGTGAGGTGGCTTCCCGGAAGGGTTAAAATATCCGGAGGAAGTAAGGCTGGGCAGGGAATGACGGGAATGCCCGGCTTTCCAGGGGAAGCACGTACTTGATGCATCAGAGCCACCAGGTTCCTGGGAACAGGTCTCCACCCCCAGGGCTGGTGGCCAGCAGTTTGATGTTCGTGGTGGGGCAGGCCAGTGCCTTCCTGTCTTCCCAGCAGTCTCTGACTACCATGAAATAATTAGTAGAGCCAAAATATCCCTCCCACCTCCTATAAATAGCTAGGAAATTCCTGGCTCAGCCAGGGAGGCTCTGAGCGTGCGTGATCCAGCCGGGAGGCGCAGGATGAGATTGGGAGGAGTAAATCTGGCTCCAGGCTCGCCTGCAAAATGGAGACGTGCTGCGTGCTGGGCATCACGCCGGCTTTCCTCTTACGGTAACACCTAAGTCACACTGTGGGCTTGGGCACTGAGCTGTGTCAGGGGACAGAGACAGGTTGCAGTGAGGGGACAGCTCTGCTGGAGCCATCCACCACCACCCACCAGTGCTCAGCAGGTCCTTGGCAACTGCTGGTTCAGCCCCTTATCCTGAGCACACAATGTCGTGCGGGAGGATCTGGGCACCAAAACTTCAGAAAATGCTTTTCAGAGCTGGGAGTGCCTGGGGCAGGGGTTACCTCCAGGATGCAGCCAAGCAGCAGACACGTGCTGGTGAAGCAGCTGGGACCACTGAGGGAGCACCTGGGGCTGTGGGCAGGGGCCTGGGCATCACCTGGGGACCAGCTAGAGAGCAGCTGCTCTCAGCAGCACAGCATGGCCCCACTCCTGCCCCCCCCCAGTGCATTCCTGGGAAGTCCTGGCCGGCCCAGCTTGGCCCCAGCAGCCCAGGGCCCCCCCAGGCCTCCCCCGGGGCTGTGCCAGGAGACAGCAGCAGCCTGTCACCTTTCACAGCCGGACAGGCTGACTGCTCCAGCCCCAGCGAAACCCGCGGCGAAATTACTCATGTATTGTATTTATGGGGTTTTAGTTCTTTTCTGAAGCTTCAGCAAGTCCCCTTGGCGTCCCTCCTTGCCTCTCCCTTTGCCAGGAAAAGCTCTGACCCTTGTTTCCTGCATCCATCAGCCAGGATGCTGAGTGGGACATTAAATCCAGACCCACGGGCAGGCTCAGCACCCGCATGCTGCCAGGCAGGTCACACTCCCAGTCCCCTCTGGCACAGGGTCCCACTGGCCGGGGCCGTGCCATTGCACGAAACCGACCAGATTGCTGTCTCCTGGTCCCCATGGGCTGGCTAATAGGCTGGGATTTGCTAATGCACAGCCTGTTCTCATGCATTGCTACATCCTGAATCACTGCGCTGCACCATCCGGACAATAACCACCACTGCCCCTCGTTTGTTACCCATACATGTTCCCGTGCACATTGAGAACAAGGATGGGGCTCTTGAGGACCATTTCTGGGCCAGACCGGTGGCAGCAAAACGCTTCCTGCTTGAACGGATGCAGCTTTTTCCCCTGTTTTCAGGAGATTCAGCACTGGGTAAAGAACACGCATGGCTGCATGTGCATCAAAGAGCCACAGGGACCACCTCACCACGCACACAGCCTCCCTCCATCACCACTGCAGGACTTGGTTATGGACACAGTGAGGGTGCTATATTGGGACTAAGACCAATTTTCCTAGATAGGGGTACTGTAATAACCTTTAAACATATTCCGACTGACATTTGTCGTGGGTTATGTGAAGCTTGCCTTCTGTTGAGCCAGAGATGCCTGAAGAGGCTCCCACCTTCCCTCCTCATTTTCCTCCCCCAGACATTTGTCTAGACAAGCACTTGCTGATAGACCCAGGACAAGAGCAGATGCCTCCAGACCCTGCTCAGGACACGGCTCTTTCACCAAGAGCCATTTGCTGCATGAGGTGGATACACGTCTGCTGGGTGTCGACCTTCTCTAAGTGAAACTAGTAACACTCTTGTCTGTGTCAGAGAGCCTTTTCATTTTACCTATTAGTATAAATTAATGCCACTTAAATAGATAATACATAGATGCGCATCTGTAAATGAAAACAAAATGAATCACTACTTAAGTATGAAAAAGAAGGGAACTTACCAGCCTTTAAAATTAGCCTGAATACAATGTGGGAAAAAGGGTCAGAGTGCAACATGTGGACTAATTTAAATAAAATGTCAACATAGAAACACCAAAAATAAGCACTGCCAGAGCCCAAACTCCTTTGAATGCAGTGGAACTGAGACTTCACTTTACTCCACAAAGCTGGAGTAAATTGTGATACCTCACGCGACTGTCAAGAGAGAAATTTGAGTTAGCTGCCCCTAGCATTAAAGAAAAAAAATCAGTCCCTACAAGATTAAACCTCAGTGGTGGGAGCAGAATAACCACAGGCTGGAAACAACGCATCCACAAAGTCATCT